GCCTTTCTTTGATTTTTAATAATGGTACTATGAATAAATCTGAGAAAATAGTCAATATATGGAATTATAAATTGAATGGCCCAAAAAAATCAATCAGAAAGAAATGGAGTCCACTTACTTCTAGTCTGTCCAAAAATTTGGAAATTTTTGCCAATTTCCAAAAGTTAATCATCTGTCTTGTTGCAAATAACAATAGAAACAACTAAATGCCTTCAACCTAGAGAAAAATACTCCTACAGATACGTACTTTAACTAGACAATTATACAGAAAAAAGATCTCACAGAGAAAAAAATGGATATTCTTTTCTATTCACCTTTTCTTTTTGGACAGAGTGTCTAGTAGTGTGATATAGTAAAAAATGAGTATACTACAGCATGACTTTGGTGATCATTGAAAACAACAATCTGTACTTTCAACTATAAATAATTAACACGAATGACTCAAGGCAGATTGAAATTAGTGACTACTGAATACAAACTAACAGTTTAAAAGATATTGTGGGCCAGGCACAGTGGCTCACACCTGTAATCCCAGTACTTTGGGAGGTCAAGGCAGGAGGATAGCTTGAGGCCAGAAGTTTAAGACCAGCCTAGGCAACATAGAAAAACCCCAACTCCACAAAAATTTTTTTAAAGCTTAGCCAGGCATCATAGCGTGTGCCTGTAGTCCTAGCTACTCAGGAGGCTGAAGCAAGATGATCACTTGAGCCCAGGAGTTCGCGGTTGCAGTGAGCTATGTTCACGTCACTGCACTCCAGCCCAGGAGACAGAGCAAGACCCTGTCTCAAAAAAAAGAGATACTGCACCTTTCATACACATAAAGCAGGATTCCAGATAAAACCTAAGAAATAAATTGAACAAGTAGTAAGGAGATGAATATGCACACAGCTTTATTGATTATTAATTGGAAATATAGAAAATCCATGAATATTAAGATTGCTACCCAACATTTCCTAAAATGAAGATAGATACTCAAAAGTTTGCATAAGCAGACAGTTGAGATTCTATGAAACAAACACGGTGAATCTATGGTTCTTATTAATTATAAAGAAAACAACACTTGGCTTAGAATTAGAATAAAACTCTCCTGCTTTAAAGAAAACAAGTTTACCTGGTAAATGTTTTGGAAAGCAAGAAAAAGGTATTATCAAAGACCAAGCAAAGATCCAACATATAAGAAATCCAATCCACCAAGCTCCCAACCATCGTGGATCATCCTCAGTGACATCAGGGCTAAATGATATAAAAACAGGAGGTAAAAGTCAACTCTACCTTATTAATTAAAAACTCAGTTATGACAATCATATACTTTATACTTCAAGTGCATATAGTACAGTATTATAAAACATCCAAAATTTTAACGGAGCCATTGTGATGAATCAGAAAATAGGTAGCAGGTATAAATGAGAGTTATCACAAGAAAATAATAGCAGTTGGAATTAAAACTTATGAACAATCTCAGCAAAACACAAGAATGTTCATGCAATGGTGGGAGAGTTGAAAGGTGGGCTGAGTGAACAAGTAAAAACATTTTAAGGCTTTCATTTGACAAGAAGGAAAAAAAGTAATGAAAAGCAAATAATTTGACATCTCGACAAGGTAAAATTATAAACTCCATTATGCACAAAGCTTTTATGATGCTAAATAGAAAGAATGCTTTCTGCTAAGTACAACTGAATAGACTCTAACACTTGTTTCTTAGCTTCAAACCAAGTTACCACCAACCACCACCTTTTTCACAAGGGAAGAATATCAGTTTGGCACTCTCAAACATATATTAACAATTCAGTGATAATTGATGAATCCATTACACAAGGGGAATGTTATGGAATAATGGCTATAGTGCTAATGAAAAACCACTGAATATTGATATTGCCAATAAGGTAACTCATCCTATTTCAACCATTCTGATCTGGAATAATTTTCATTTGCTCAAAGGACAATAAAACTAAATCTGAAGAATAGTTTATAAGAGCTAGAATTATAGCAAATAAGTAAACAAGAATGTATTATGAAAAGATTTGTGTGTGTGTGTGTGTATATATGTCTGTGTTTATGTGTGTGTATTTATGCAAGTGGGGTTATTTATGCATGTATGTAATAAATACACGCATCTACATATACGTACCTGTGATCTGTGTGTGTGTGTGCGTGTGCGTGTGTGTGTGTATGTGTCAGAGACAGAGAGAGAAAAAACAGTTTTATTTTACCTTCAATGCAGCTGGAAAATCTTTAATACTTTTTCCAAAATTCTCATCTGCATGTTGCAAGGAAATACTCTTATTCTGATGAGCCTGGGAAGTTTTTCCAGCTTGAATTTTTGCTGTACCTAAAAAAAGCAGTAAATGCACTTGCTTTGTCACTTTCTTCTTTATCAAAAAAATGCTTACTTTTTAATTGACACGCACTTCCACAAGTATATAAATTCCATAACATAAGAGGCCAGTTCCTTTGTCAACAAAATTGTACAAATATCTAGGTAATCAGGCTGTCCTAAGAGCTAGGATTCATTACCACTTAGGAAGTTCCAACCAGTCTAAACATTAAAATGAGACAATGTTACTCTAATCTCATATCTAAGCTCTTCATTTAAAATCTCTTAACATTTTTTATTCCTTTCAAATGGTTTCCTTTTTTATCCTTTATACATTAAAGTACATTCATGACTTTTTTCTTGTACTCTTTTTAGTTCTAACATGCTTAGCAGATGATATATTCACCATCTATTACCATGTCCCTTTCTTTGATTTTTAATAATGGTACTATGAATAAATCTGAGAAAATAGTCAATATATGGAATTATAAATTGAATGGCCCAAAAAAATCAATCA